CCCCAAAACCCCAAAACCCCAAAAGTATTAACTCTAATTAAAAACATATTAGATTTAAGGAGTATTGATAGAATTTTTAAAATGAAAATTAATTCTATACTCCATTGACTTCTTAATTAGTTTTATGTCCTTTGTCTTTTTATATTGAATGAATATCAGATTATTCTCAAAATTAAGTATAGGAAATTAACTTTCATATACTCTCTTTAATAAGGATAGTTAACACTAGAAAATCTCATTTAAAATCATTTTTTAACACAATAATCTGGTAGGACATTTCCTAAAAAGAAAATGATTGTGAATAATACTGTAAATATTGCAAAATAATCACATGTTAAGGACCAATTGTTGTCTAAAAACTAATATATCAAACTTCCTAATGGTGGTCCTACGATAAGTCCTAATGAATAAAATTAACCATAGAGTGCTGCAGCTTTGTCGCTGACCTATTAATCGAATATAGAGTTTTAGCTATGTTATTTTCCTGCCTGATTATATATTGAATCTATTATTTCTGGTAAAATAGGGATATATAAAAATCCCCAAGCAAGACCGGATAAGAAATAGCCAAATAAGAAGAATCTTAAATCTTTGGGAAAATTTAGTATTTAGGAAGGCCCAGTTAGAAATATTCCAAAAGCTTGAATCATAAAAGAAATGCAAATAAATACCCTCCTGGGTAATTTTTAAATTATAAAATTAACCCCGATTGAGCTAAATATGTAGACAGCAGCTGGTATAGCTAAAATCATACCAATGTATTGAGATTATATGTTCATCTTTTCGTAAAGTACTACAGTAAGAAATCCAGCTGAATATGAAGTAAGAGTACAAATAATAGACAATCCTACCAAAGCAAATACCACTCTTCTATTTTTTAGTATTAATCTATAGGAAATTCAATATTCATTATGATGATGTCTCATTTATCTATTCTCTAAGTCTCCAAGAAGACTTATATCATTACTCATTTGCTTCCCATCAGAATTATTCAAAGAATCGGGGAGCAAAAACCAACAAGTAATTAATGCAATAGTTATGATGGCTGAAAATACAAAGAAACAATCTCTATATCCCAAATATGTGTTAAGAAAGCTTCCAATGACGGGTCCAACCATCAATCCAATTCCACTAGATGATCCTCCATATCCTAGATATTTTTCCTTATTTTCTGCAAAAATTGAAGTTAAAATTGAGTAACCTAGTTATTAAACTTGATAATTTGATATTTACATGAAGTTTAAACCATGATATCCCCGAGGCCTTGTGCAACTCTGGCAAAATTACAGACTAAAAAATACTGCCATTAATTTTAAATATATTTAGTTAGTCCAAAACCAAAAGTTGCCAAAACCTAAAATTCTAAATAAGAATATCTAAGAGAGGTACCATTATTAAAAATCCCAATAAAATAGATGTTCTTCTTCCGATTCTTGATAATTAGACCCCAACTACAGGCGCTGAGAAGAAACAGGTAATCTCCATTGTTCTAAATTGCATTTTTAAATAAATAGAATTTTACATCATAATAATTGAAGAATGAGTCTCTGTTAAGTTTTTGTGATTGTTTGCTATATATTACGGGATGATGCTTTCAATATTTAGCATGAACAATTAAATTGTGAATAGAGAGATAAGAACTGAAATTAGAATTTGATTTTGATTATTTTCTTTTCTATTCTTGTTCTGTTAGCTTTCATCAAAATTCAGCTATTAATTATGACTTATTTCATCACAAACATTTTTGGAATCACTAGCTATAATACTTTAAGCTCTATTAGCTATTTCTTTCTGAATCTAACTACTCAAAATTTCTGAGGAATGTGAGTCTAATCGCTGTTGCACAATAGAAAAATCTTCGTGATATTAAGAACTATGGCAAAGCTTGTATTGTTT